ATCAATTAGATCCATCTGATCTAGTGTGTCATATAAGGCTGCTGTTTCCTTGTTGACATATTTTTGTGTTTTGCTTCTTCCTCTTGACTGTTTAGTTCACTGCCAAACTTATTGAAATAGTCTATATTTGCTTCTTGAGCTTTCAGACTGTAAAATTACTCTTTAAGAAATAAAACCCCTCTGTCTCAAATATCATAGCTTTTTTTTCTTGGCATAATAGTTTCAAATAGTAAGTACACTGAAAATTGTCCTTTCATAGCTTTATTTCCTCCATAAATTTTCTAACGTCTTTTTTCAGTGGTAATCATTTTTATAAGCTTAGTGTGTTTCTTTTCAGATTTTAGACTATACATTTATAATACATATAAACAATATGTGCATTTATAAAGAATTGCGTTTGGGCATTTTATTTTTTTACATAAATGAAATCAGACTTAATATGTTATGTGCAGAGTTGTTTTTCTATTAATTTATCTTGGAGATTTTTCCATGTCATTGTATTATGTAGATATAATCTTTTAATCTGCTAATTAGTGTTCCAGTATAAAGATATCATTAATGGACACTTGCTGGCTTCAATTAGTATTTTTCTGTTGCAAACAGTATATCCTTGTACAATCCTCATGTATATACAAGTATTTCTCTAAGATGATTACATAAAGGTAGAGTTACTGAATTGAAAATACTGTGTTATTAATTTTATTAGAGACTGCTGAATTTTATTCAAAAAGGCTGTGCCAATTTCTACTTCTACCAACAAACAGTATGTCATGGCATTCAGCGCCCTCCATAGTCTTGCCAGCACAGGATAATAAATGTTTTCTTAATTTTGATGGGTGAAAAATAAGAAGATACTGTTTTCTTTATATCTTTCATTGACTGAAAAATAATATCAAATAGGTGCTTTATCACCGAAAAGGATTTATTTGGGAAAAATAATGCGTTGCAACCCAGTGCATGCAGACATGGCTAGCCACGTGTACACTCTGGCCTGCATGCCACAGTGGAGGGGATATTTATAGAAGGGAAAAGGAAGTTAGAACCATAGAGCTTTATTATAAACATAGATTTCTTCTTAGAGGGTTCTCGGGATTACATAGAGTGTGAAAACTTCCATAAACCCTAGCTCCTGCCATATACCCCCCCAACTGATTATGTTTGCTTAAAGTTCCATCTAGTCTTTATCACTTTTCATATGCTTGTAGACCACCTACAAAATTTTCTTCTTTGAATTATTGTTTTATATCCCTCATCAGTTTTTATGTTGGATTGTTGATTCTTTTAAATCTATTTTTAGTAACTCATGTATTTTAGGGAAAGTCCTTTGTTGAATATGTTCTAATATTTCCTCTCTGTCTGTTGCTTACCATTAAGCTTTTTAAAAAATTAATCAACATTATTTCTTAAAGCAGTTTTAGGATCAAAGCAAATTTGAATGGAAAGTACCTAGAGTTCACATATACTTCCCCCATTTCCTACATCCTGCAGCATAGTGGTACATTTGTTACAATTGATGGCTCTACATTGACACAAAATTATCACCCAAAGTCTGTAGTTTACATTAGAGTTTATTCTTATTTAGCTTTTTATCTCATGTATTTTCATTATATTGAAATGTAAAACTTAAATGAAGGCAAATTTATCAATTATTTTTCTTAAGACTTTCTGAATTTTGTATTTTGACCAAGGTGATCATCATAGCCTCTATAATTTCTAATAGCAATTTTTTAAATTAAAAAAAATATATATCTTTATAGATTTCAGAGAGACGAAGGGGAGGGGAAGAGAGAGAGAATCATCAATGATGAAAAAGTCATTGATCGGCGGCCTCCTGCATGTCCCCCACTGGGGATTGAGCCTGAAACCTGGGCATGTGCCCTGACTGGGAATCAAACCAGGATTTTCTCAATGGATGAGCCACACCAGCCGGGCTCTAATAGCATTTTTTTTTTTTTAAATATATCTTTATTGATTTCAGAGAGAGGAAAGGAGAGAGAGACAGAAACATCAATGATGAGAGAGTCATTGATCAGCTGCCTCCTGCACGTCCCCGACTGGGGATCTAGCCTGCAGCCCGGGCATGTTCCCTGACTGGGAATCGAACCCCGATTGCCTGGATGCTAGGTCAGTGCTCAACCGCTGAGCCACGGCTGTCCAGGCTCTAATAGCAATTCTTAATTAAAGTTTTTTAATTAGCTTTTTAATTGAGGAGATCATGTGGACTGAGCTAGAAAATTAACTTCTATCCACTAATGATCAGTTGTTGCAAAAACCATCTAAAATAGTACTTTTTATCATCATCAGAATTCCTGTATACACAGTCTATTTCCTAATTCTCTGTTTTTTTTAATAAAGCCATTTGTCTTACAGTGCTTTTGAAAAAAAATTAACAGCTTTATTGAATTATAATTGAATATAGTGTCAAAAAACTAAGTTAGGACTTAGATAAGGAAAGGCTATTGTAATAGGGAAATCACTCTGATCTCTGAACTCTGGAAGTGTCTCAGAATCAAAGAGAAAAGGATTTTTCTTTAATACAATAAAGGTTGGGACAAGCAGAGATGCATAGAATCTTTTAAGGGGAAGCTGAGAAGCAAGGGGAAATAACCAGTGAGGATTGAGAGGCAAGTTCTGCTGTGGTCAGTTGATTTCTAGGAGAAGCTGATAAGGGGATACAAGCAGAGTTCAGGGACCTCTATGAAAGAAAGAAACCTTATTAAAGTTTGGTCAAGACAAAGCAAAGGGTAAGAAATAGGCAATTGAAGACTTGGTCAATAATAAACTACCCATGTTTAAAGCATACAAGTTGATAAACTTTAACACATTATATACACATGTGAGCTGTCACCACTATCAAGATAATGAACAGATCATCATCCCCAAAAGTTCTTCTCTACCCTTGGTAATTTCTTCTTCCCACCCCTTCTTTTTCCCCTGTTCTCCCCAGACCATCACTGATCTGTTTTCTGTCATTACACATTAGTGTGCATTTCCTAGAATATCATATAAGTGGTATGACTTTTTCGTCTAGCTTCATTCACTCAGCATAATTCTTTTAAGATTCATTCACATTGCTACTGTGTTAGTAGTTTATTCATTTTTATGGTTGTTTATCACTGAGTAGTATGGATACACTACAGTTTGTTAATTCATCTTTTGATGTATATTTAGCCTGTTTCTGTGTGTGTGTTTTTTGGCTATACACATAAAACTGCTTGAACATTCACCTACAAGTCTTTATATGAACTTCTATTTTCATTTCTCTTGGGTTAATGCTGTAAGTGAAATGACTGTGTCACTTGGTAAGTGTATATTTAACTTTTTAAGGAACTTTCAAACTGTTTTCCAAAGTGGCTGTAACATTTTACATTCCCACTATCTATGTATGGGAGTTCTAGTTCTTCCACACCCTTGCCACCACTTCATACGGTCAGTCTTTTCAGTGTTAGCTATGCTATTAGGTGTGAAGTGGTGCCTTATTGAGGTTTTAATTTGCATTCCCTAATGACTAGTGATTTCGAGCATGTTTTCATGTGCTTATTTGTCATCTGTATGTCTTTTTTGGTGACATGTTGGTTAAACTCTTTCCCATTAAAAAAATTAGGTGATTTTCTTATAGTTGAATTTGGACAATACTTATATCCTGGATACAAGTCCTTTATCAGATATATGATCTGCAAATATATTCTCCCAGTCTGTAGCTTGTCTTTTAATTACCTTAACAGTATGGTTGAGGAGTAGAAGTTTTATATTTTGATGAAGCCCATTTTATCAATTTGTGCTTTTATGGAGGTCATATTTAAGAAATCTCTGCCTGATCCAAGGTTGCAAATGTTTTCTCCTAGAAGCTTTCTAGTTTTAACTTTTACATTTAGGTCTATGATCCATTTGACTAATTTTTTGTATGGTGCAAAGTATGGATTATAGTTCATTTATTTTTAAAATTTTTGTCTTTTATTTTAATTTTTCTGTCACCATTTATCCCCTGTGCCCCCTTCTACATCCCCACCTCTCTCCCTGCAGTCACCACACTGCTGATGGGAAGATGCAAAAAGGGTACAAAGAGTTCCATGTATTTTTACCCAGTTTCCCCCAAAGGTGACATCTTACTTTAATAAGTAAGAAAGCTATATTTCCTTCTTTTCCTTGCCTTCTCTTCCTTTCCCCTATCTTCTTCTCTCCCTTTCCCACTTTTCTTCCTTTCCCAAACAATTCAGACCTGAAGACATTAGTTGGAACATAGGAGAATAGTTGTCGCTGTGGGTGAGAGGTTGTGGGTTTGGGGAGCCATGGTGGCCAAAGTGGGGTGGGAGAAGCCAAGACAGATAAAAAGAAGTCTACATAGGGTGAAGACCCACTCAACAGAGAAAGCAGACCCTGAGCATGAAGAGATGCATCACCCCTGCATTCATGCATTGAAGCCCTAACCCCCAGTATGACTATATATTCAGATGGGACTGTAGGGAAGTAATTAAGGTTATATGAGGTCTTAAGGGTAGGTCCCTGATCGGATGGGACTGGTGTTCTTATAAGAAGAGATTCTAGACAGCTTACTTGCTTTCTCTCTCTGAACACACACTGAAGGAAGGCCTTTTAAGAACACAGCAAGAAGTCAGCTGCTACAAGCCAGAAAGAGAGTCCTCACCTGGAAATGAATTGGCTGGAACTTTGATCCTAGATTTCTAGCCTCCAGAACTGTGACATAATACATTCCTTTTGCTTCGGCCATCATCTATGGTGTCTTGTTCTGGCAGTACCAGCAGACTAAGACACATGCGCTCTATGATTTCAGTCCTTTTGATAAATGTTGAGACCTAGAGACCTAGCAGTTGTAGCTAAAGAGTCCCTGTCAACTCCAGAAAGATAACGACTGATTCCAGAGATTAACTGCTATTGCTAGGTTAGAAAGAAATAGATTTTAGGTCTCAGATAAGGATTATATTAGTGAATATTAATGTGAATAACTCATTTCTTTATTGACAGTCATTTTCTCTTCACAGGAATGTGAATTGGACCCTTGTTGTGAAGGAAGTACTTGTAAACTTAAATCATCTGCTGAGTGTGCATATGGCGATTGTTGTAAAGCTTGTTTGGTAAGAAAGTCCTCCCTATTTTGAAAAAAAAAAATAGAAAAAGGAAAAATATTATAATTCAGAATTTGTTTTACCTGTAAGAGAGCACTATTTTTATTACATGGTTACATGAAAAATTTTATGCCACTTGTTTGCAATTTTGTATCACTTTCTTTTTATCACAGTCTAATGAGATTTTTTTCCTAAGTAAAAACATTTTTTTAAAGAGTAATCTATGTGTATTAAAAATTCAACAGTACCAAGGTATAGAAAGCAGACAGTGAAAGACTTTATCTTTTTTTGTTGTTGCTGTTAATTCTCCCCCAAGGGTATGCTTTCCATTGATTTTTTAAAAAATTATTTTTCTAAAAATTTATCTTTATTGTTGAAAGTATGACAGCTGTCCCATTTCCCCCCCTATTGATCCCCTCCACCCGAATCCACCCCACTCCCAAGCCTTCCCCATAACAATGTCTGTATCCCTGGGTTGTGCTCTTAAACATATAAGTTCTTTGATTAATCTCTCCCCACCTACTCCCCCACCCACATCTTCCCTCTGAGATCCCTCAGTCCTTTCCATGCTTCTATGTCTCTGGATCTATTTTGTTCATCAGTTTATTTTGTTTACTACATTCCACATATGAGTGAGATCATGTGGTACTTGTCTTTCTCTGACTGGCTTATTTTGCTGAGCATAATACTCTCCAGCTCCCTCCATGGTGTCCCAAAGGATTCAAAATCCTTCTTTTTTATGGCTGCATAGTATTCCATGGTGTCAGTGTCCCACAGCTTTTTTATCCACTCATCTACGTTGTGCCCTTGAGAAGAATGTATATTCTGCATCTTTGGAGTGGAATGTTGTATAAATGTCAATTAAATATATCTGATCTACTGTGTCATTTAGGGTCACTGTTTCCTTGTTAATTTTTTGTCTGAAAGACCTATCCAGTGAAATCATTGGAGTGTCAAAATCCCCTGAATAACTCTTGCTGCCAATTTCTCCCTTAAAGTCCTCTAGAAGTTTTTTAATAAATTTAGGTGCTCCTATATTGGGTACATATATGTTTATCAGGGTTGTATTCCCTTGTTGGCTTGATCCCTTTAGTATTATATAGTGACCTTTCTTGTCTCTCATTATGGTCTTCATTTTGAAGTCTATTTTGTCTGATATGAGTATTGGTACCCCAGCTTTTTTTTTTTCCATTTCCATTTGCATGGAAAAATTTTTTCCATCCCTTCACTCTCATCCTGTGTGAGTCTTTTGTTTTGAGGTGGTCTCTTAAAGAGAGCATATATTTGGGTCATGTTTCTTATCCATTCAGCCATCCTATTGGAGCATTTAATCCATTTACATTTAAGATTATTATTGATAGTTACTTATCTCTTGCCATTTTAATTCTTTATGCCTATGTTTCTCTTTCTCTTTCTACTTGTAATTACAGCAGTTCCTTTAACATTTCCTGCAATGCTAGTTTGGTGGTGATAAACTCCTTTAGCCTTTTTTTGTCTGAGAAGATCTTTATTTCACCATCTATTTTGAAAGATAGCCTTGCTGGATACAGTAGTCTTGGTTTCAGATCCTTGTTTTTCATTACCTTGAATACTTCATGCCGTTCCCTTCTGGCCTGTAGCATTTCTGATGAGAAGTCAGATGACAGCCTTCTGGGCGCTCCTTTGTAGGTAACAGATTGCTTTTCTCTAGCTTCCTTTAAGATTTTCTCTTTGTCTTGAATTCTTGGTATTTTAATTATGATATTTCTGGGTGTGGGCCTCTTTGGGTTCTTCTTGCTTGGGACTCTCTATGCCTCCAGAACTTGTGTGACTTTTTCCTTTACCAGGTTAGGGAAGTTTTCTGCCATTACTTTTCAAACAGGTTCTCTAACCCTTGTTTACTTTTGACCTCTTCTGGCACTTCTATAATGTGAATACCTGTCTTCTAATTCCCTGATCCAACCTCAGCTTCCTCTAATCTGCTGATTCCTTCCAATGTATTCTTTATTTCTGCTATGTCATTCTCAATTTCCTTCATAGTTTCCATACCTTTTTCCATGCTGTTGAGCATCCTTACAATCAGTATTCTGAATTCTATATCTGATAGATTGCTTACCTCCATTTCACTTAGCTCTTTTTCTGGATACTTCTCTTGTTCTTTCATTTGGGGCTTGTGTTTTTGTCTTCCCATTTTGGCTGCCTGTTTGGGTTTGTTTCTGTGTATTAGGTAGATCTGCTATGACTCTCAATCTTTTTGGAGGGTCTCTGGTGCAGGCCAGTGTCAGATGCATTTTGTGACTGGCCTTGAGTACCCTGTTTGGAGCTATCAACAACCCTAGGCTTGAGGTCTCCTCTGCTGGGGCTGGGTGCAGTTGGACGGGACCAAGACGCACACCAAAGTCTGCTTTTCTAAGGCCCAGGTCCAGAAGCAGACCAGGCAGAGACTCAACGCACCNAGGCAAAGACTCAAAGCAATCTGATGTCTGCCTCTGTCTGCAGCTGATTAATCTGATTCTCTTAATGAGCCTCAGGCTATAGAAACTCCTTAGGGTAGGGCAAGAGGTTTTCCAGCCAGGTGGGGTAATTTCTCTCCCAGCCCCAGACAAAAGCAGCAAATTGTCTGAGAAAGATGTCCTGTGCAGTATGGGGGAATGACTCTGCACAGGAATCCAGATGGGTGCCTTCTGATCTCAACCTCTAGGGCCCAAAACCCTAGGTTTTCTTCACACAGCTCCCATCCACTCTACCCTCCCTCTGCTGGAGCCCAAGGTGAGTGGCTGCACACGAAACTTTGTGCTTTGGCTCTTTGAGAGGGTGCCTGCATTTCCAGCCATCTCTCCCTGGCAGACAGAAACCCTGCTGCTTTTCACAGCCAGATGTTCTGTGGGCACCTTTCTCAGTTCTGGTGCTCTGGGCCGGGAAGCCCAGCCTGGGGTTTAGGCCCCAGAGTCCTCAGGGGGAGCTCCCACAGCTGAGGTGTCCCTCTGGACCTTCAGCTGCTGCCTGTGGGAGCCCAGCCAGCCCTCTCGCCCTCTGTACTTCCTACTAGTCTCTATGCGGTCTTTATTTTCCCTCCTTGGTTATGAGGGTGCACTCCAACTCATCTTCAGTTGCAGCTGATTATTCAGAATGGTTTTGCTATTTTAGTTGTAATTCCAGTTTGGTCCCGGGAGAGTGTCAGTGTAGCTTCCACTCAGTGTGCTGCCATCTTTAATCTCCTCTCCATTGATTTTTTTTTTTTTAGAGAGAGTGGAAGGGAGGGAGGGAAGAGAGAGAAACATTGATATTTTCAATGCTTGCTTCCCCTACACGCCCTAACCGGGGCTGGGGGTTGAACCTGCAATCCAGGTACATACTCTTGACTAGGATCAAACCCATGACCCTGTGGCGTGAGGGCCAACACTCTAACCACTGAGCTACTGGCCAGGGCATGACTCTGTCATTTTAACCCTCCTCAGGTAGCCATTGCTGATAATATGTTATTAGTTACTTTTTGCTGTATAAATGTGATTATGAGAGTGTGTGTGTGTGCGCAGGGGAGTGGGGTGTGGGGTATGTTGGTAAACACAGATACTCATATTTTTCCTATCTGTATTTTCAGTTCTACATGGTTGTTTAGTTAGTACTTCTTTGTATGGCTATACCATAATTTCTTTACCTAGTCAATTAATTATGGGCATTTGGATTGCTTGCAATATTTGTTTATAAGTAGAATTGTTGGGGCAAAGTATCATATTAAAATTTTTGACACACATTTTACAAAATTTCCACAGATGTGCCATTCTATACCCATTAGTGTAATGACATGCTTGTTTTCTCACATTAACATTGGTTGCTAGCAAGCGTTATAATCCTGGTTAATTTGATAGGTTTAATGTGCTTTTGTGTCTTTGTTGAGTTTGCATTTCTTTTGATTATCAATAAGGTTGTTTTTTCATTTTCTGTATTTCATGACTTTTATGACTTGCCTATTATTGTTGGCCTCTGTTCATTTTTCTATTGGGTTATTTAATCTTTTATTGTTGTTAGAACTTTTATATATATAAATACTGTGGTTTCAAATTTGATTAATTTGTAGGAATTGTCCTGATATTATGTTTCATTAGAATCTCATTATCCTAGTTTCTTCCAGGAGGTACTGTGTGTCGAGGAAAAACCAATGAATGTGATCTTCCAGAATATTGCAATGGTACTTCTCAGTTCTGTCAGCCAGATGTTTTTATTCAGAATGGATATCCTTGCCAGAATAACAAAGCCTATTGTTACAACGGCATGTGCCAGTATTATGATGCTCAGTGTCAAGTCATCTTTGGCTCAAGTAAGATATTTTATTTATAATTGATTGCTTTGATTGTATTTATTTATTGCTTTATTTTTTGTTAAAAGTGGAAATAAAAAATTATAGTATACACACACACATATACTATCATATTTTAGTTTTAATAAATTCATATAAGTATAGGGATTACATATAGGGGCCTGCTAATTTCATTGTTCACTCAAAATGTTTTTGAGATCCATCTGTACTGATACATTTAGATCATATGCATTACATAAATGTAATCTGTTCTCTTACTGAGAGATATTTAGGGTGTTTTAAATTTTTTTCTGATTCTCTTGGCAAAAGCATTGCATGTAGGGAGGGCAGTTCTTATCCAGAGTGTCTATTCCAGTAAGAACAAAGAGCTTTGCCATGATGGAAAGGATCCAATTTAATAAACCTACCACCAGGTAGCTGGCTGATCACCCAGAGGAATGGTGCCATATTGAGAACCCAGTGTTGGTTTCTGCTGCTGGCAGATTGGGCACTCAGCAGTGGCCATAGCCAGCTTGGCTTTGATGAGTGGAAGTCCATGTTGCTGAGCACATGCAGAACCTCCATCCCTGTCATCATGGCCCATTGCTCATGACCTCTTTGGGCAATGACAGGGATGACTGGGGAAGGAGGTTGACTGGTATCCATAGGATGCATAGGATAATTATTGATTATTAAAATCCTCCCCTGCTGAGGTAACCTTATGGTGAGTGTTCACATGGGATACAAATATCTTCCTGTGTGTTGCCCATAAAGAGATATCTTGTGAAATCTTATAGAAGGAAAAGATGATTAAAATCCTTGCAAACTAAATTATGATATAGGGCTGGAGAGTTGCTATACCCCTAAGAGAAGACATTGCTGGCCTTCTAGATGAAAACAAAATTGCTTTTCATGGTACTTATTGAACAGTAGGGAGAAAAAAAGCATTTGCCAATTCAGTAGCTACATACCAGGTACCAGGAGATATGTTACTTTGCTCAAACAATGAAACCAAAATTGCCACAGCAGGTATAATTACAATCACCACTGACAAAGCTTATAAGAATCCACTGTCATTTTGCAAGATCCATTTGTCTTGCATAGGCCAAATAGGCAAGTTGAACTGGAATGCGGTCGGAATCACCACCCCAGCATCTTTCGTGTCCTTGATGGTGGTAATAATCTTTCCAGGATTGTGGTATTATCTTTGATTCACTATTTTCCTTTGTAGAGGCAGTTCCAGTGGCTTCCACTTGGTCTTTCCCATCATAATAGCCCTCACTCCACAGGTCATGGAACCAATGTGGGGATTCTGCTAGTTGCTATTATGTCTGTTTCAATTATGCATTCTGGAACTGGGGAATAACCACAGGATGGGTTTGGGGACCCATTGGGCCCACTGTGAGACAAACATGAGGTAAAACTCCATTGATCGCCTACCTCCATAAGCCCCTACTCTGACTGGTAGGTTACAATGATGTTTGGGCCTCCTGGAGTTAGTGTCAATTCAGAGCCCAGTGTCTAATCGTACACGATCGTCTGATTATTTCCTTTTCCACAATGCTCAATTATCCTGGTAAAAAGCTGTAAGTCCTGTTGGTGTAGGATGGAAGAAAGATTAATGGTATACATTTTTGGCAGTATATTAGGTTCCTCTCCATTAAAGGGGTTCTGAATCTGTAATATGACTCAAGTCTGGGAATAGACTGAGAGCTCCTGACTCAGTTTTTTTGATTCAAGTTAGATTTTGTTCACTTGACCTACAACTTTTCTGCTTCTGCAGATCTAGTAAGAATTTACTGGTAGGCTTCCCATTTTTTCACTCCTCAGAATGTCATGATTAACTAACTGATACCACAGGTCTGTGCAAGTCAGACTTCGGCTTTGCTCTCTATTATGGTAACCATGTCCACCTTGCCTTTGCAGTTGAGGACCTCTGCACTGGGCTTCTGCCACTGAGGGTCCAGCTACTTCCATTGCATTTAGGTTTCCCAATTCAGTGACTGTAGTTCCCAGTGTAAAGTGGCCTACAGAGAAGAGTGGTCACAAAGCTATTTAGGTATTGTGTCTCCTGGACGCTGTCAGGGTGAGTGAGTAGGTTTTAAATGGAAAATCCCGTCTAGCATTACAATCTCTGTAAGTTCATGAATCCCAAGGCAGGTTCAGCATTTCCAGCTTGTTCACTGTGGGCCACCTTTTGATCCATGTTTCAGCCAATCAACCACACAAACTGTTACAGTCTAACACCCCTTACTACAACATTAAATGCAGAATTTCTGACCCTATCAGTCAATTTGACCCGATTCAAGTTTATGGTTTTTTTTACCATTATCCCAAACCTTTAATATCCATCCATTCTCCCACGTGTTTTCCAGATTTCTATGTGTATAAATTTGAAAATCCAAGTACTTCAATCCAAGCACACCTTCTTATGGGTCACATTTACTATGTCACTTTTAGGGTCCTGCTTAGGCTTAAGTCTAGTTAGAGGTCTAGAAGCAAAGAGGAGTGGTAGGGGTGAGTCCCGAGGCCACTCACTATTGTCTTGTATGGCAACTTTAATTAATTAATTAATTAATTAATTTTTATTGTTGAAAATATTACAGATGTCCCTTTTTCCCCCCATTAACCCCTTCCACTCCCACCCATTCCCCTCCCCAGGCCGAAACTTCTTTGGGGATGCCACTATAATTTCCTCAGGCAGTGCATGCTTAATCTCCTTAGATGGGGGTGGAGAAGCTGCTTCCCTGACAAAGAAGACTCACCAGAATTTAGGGACTCAGCGTCCCCTGCTTCATCAGGTCTTTCCACACATCTCCACTCCAGCTTTCAGGATCTCATTCTTTCATAATCATTGCCCTCAATTTAACAACAGACACTCTATGAGGCTGGGAGTTTGTTTTGGGTTGTAATTCAGCCAGTTGGAGAATGAGATCCTGGGTTTGATTATTAGCAATCTCAGCTCTACCACTGCAGAAGATAAAGGTCTTCTTCAGATCACACATGGCTTTCAGGTTATTAATGCAGTGATTGAGCTGGGAATTCAAATATCTGAGCATACTTTATCCTCTCTCCCCCACCTTGTCTGGTGTTATCAGGAGCAATCAGCAGCCAATCTCACGCTCATTGGGTGTTTGACAAAAATGCTGGATTTATTTCTTCGAACCTAGAGTTGTTGATTTTGACCAGACTTCTGTCTTTAGTTTCTGTTGTATTTCTTATTTTATGGTGGACAAGATAAGCAAGCAGAAGGCTCTTTAAGAATTAAATGTGGCTTATTTATGATAGTTAGGTTATGGAGACGAGACTAGTAGAGATCTGTCAACTTCTGATGTTTATATTTTGCAGGAATAGGTAGATTATTCCAGACTAAAAAAAGTAATTTCAGATAGGCATCTTAATGAAGGAAATACTGTTATTTAGCTAAGATGTTATAGAGGCCTGCAAAAAGTCTAGGACTAAAAGAACCACGGTAAATTTTTTCCAGAGATTATCTGAAATTTTTATAGCTATTTCCATTCTGTAGAAGAGCTTTGTTAGGGTATTGCCATGGGACATTTATCCCATGCAAGTGATCTGCATTCATTTTTCATATTACTTGATTCTTTGCCTCTTTTTTGCTCCAAGTCCTTTCACCCATATCCATTTTCTTTTAAACTAAACAATATAGTATTAGATATGTAAGATAGGCAAATGAATTTCCTATATTACTATAGAAAGTACTGGCATCTTTTTAAATAAAATATTTTTAGGAATGTATAATTAAGTGGAAAAAATTGAACATTAAGTGATACATATATAAAATAGGAGAAAGCAAGAATGGATTGATACTTTATCAGCTCTCAGGGCTGTTTGTCAGTCTATCTAATTACTATTAATACCTAAATTAACCATCCACATATGGTAAATAAAAAACCAAGTAATAATAGCTGGCAATATTTTCATCAACCCTTCCCTACCTGATTTAACCAGGAGTGCAATAGGTATGTGTTTTAGAGCAGTGAGAATGACTATGCTGAAAATGCTACCCATATGGAAGTTTTTTTTAATCCTCATCAGAGGATATTTTTTCCATTGCTTTTCAGAGAGAGTGGAAGGGGGAGAGAGAGACAGAGACAGAGACAGAGAGACAGATATTGGTGTGAGAGAGAGACATTGATTGGTTGCCCTCCCGCACATGCCCCAGCCAGGGCCAGGGATCAAGCCTGCAACCAAGGTACGTGCTGTTGGCCAGAAGCAAACCCAGGGAAGGGCAGTCCACAGGTCAGTGCTCTAACCACTGAGCAAAACTGGCTAGAGCTAAAACTTTATAGTTTTATCTTGTTTAATGATACCTTTTTAAGGGCCTGAGTGTTCAACTTTAGGCTAACTTTTAAGTACAATCTAAGCTTTATTTTTATAGTTGGTTGTTAAGTATAAAATGTAGAACAAAAATGTTTTATCTGTAAGGCCTGAAACTTTTTCAGAGGTATTGAGACAGTTCATCCAGGTGTATTGACTGTTACAGAGAATACTTTTATTTCCGGATTATATTGCTATAACATTAAAAAAATTTTTTTTTTAACATTACAGAAGCCAAGGCTGCCCCAAGAGATTGTTTCATTGATGTGAATTCTAAAGGTGACAGATTTGGCAATTGTGGTTTCTCTGGCAATGAATACAAGAAGTGTGCCACTGGGTAGGTGTTGGCAAGGTTATAAAGGAATATGAAAGATTACAAGACCATTTATCTCTCGTATCTTTTATAGCTACTTGTGACTGCTGACTTTCTCCCCCTTAAATACCTTACCTTTGAAACTTACAATTTTGCAACACAAGGTTTCAGAGAGACTCTGAATAGAACTGGTAAAGTAAGTCATCCCTTTTGACATTACCTGTCTAAAATTGAATGGTTTTTAGATCCAGGATCTACAGTAAGAACCCCAAATAAACACTCTTCCTCCTCTTTCTTCCTTTTATTAAAAGGCTGTGCTGCTAAATCCATAAAGGTACAGAATTAATTTTGTATTTTATTATTTTCTTCTAGCTCTATAACTTAGGAGTGATAAATAAGAAATTTCAATACAGCATCATAACAGTTGATGTTGGCTAATTAGTGTGCTATGGAATGATTCAGGAAGAGCATTTAACTCACACAGCCGTGGTGTATTGATGAGTTATGGATTGAGTCTTTAAGTAACTACTAAGTGCCAAGCCAAGAAGGGTAGAGTCCTTTCTCAGTTACTTTACATTACAGAATCTAATTTTTTCTTACCATAATTCTTTAAGAAGACACAATTGAATTTTGATATAGTTCTATTATTTTCTGGGTAATAGCATTTATAAAGTTATATCATATTTACGAGAAACTTTATTAGTTAGACTTTTTTGAGCCCTAGACAGAAAGTGAAGAGGGGTTAGGTATGAAGGAGCATCAGCACCACCTGGTACCCTACTAGTTTTCATCTTAGCATCCATTTATCTCTGCTCTTTTCTGCTGTATTTAGAGAGCTGCTTTGATTTCTGTTGCTCTGGTACACTTTCTCTGTTGAGATTTTTTGCAGTTGAATAGCAGTACACTCTCTGTCTGTATACATATATATAATTTTTCTGTTGTATCTACACTGATGCATTTCATGTTTGCATTATTTTTCTATCTTAATAGGAATGCTTTGTGTGGAAAGCTTCAATGTGAGAATGTACAAGAAATGCCTGTATTTGGAATTGTTCCTGCTATTATCCAGACTCCCAGTGGAGGCACCAAATGTTGGGGTGTGGATTTTCAGCTAGGATCAGATGTTCCAGATCCTGGGATGGTGAATGAAGGCACAAGATGTGATGTTGGAAAGGTAATTAAAATGTTTTCTATTTACAAAGTAAAATTTAAAAAATCATTATGCAAAGTAAGTGATTTTTTTCTGATTATAAAAGAAATCTGTGTTTATTATAGAAATTTGGGAAAATACAAAGCCACCAAGCACAAAATTAAGAATAGTTGTGCCAGGCCAGCGTAGCTGAGCGGGTGAGCATCGAACTATGATTCAGGAAACAGAGGTTCAATTCCAGTCAGGGCACATGCCCCGGTTGTGGCCTCAGTTGATCGCCAGTAGGGGGCATGCAGGAGGCAGCCGATCAATGAATCTCTCATCATTGATGTTTCTATCTCTCTCTCCCCCTCTCCCTTCCTCTCTCTGAAATCAATAAAGACAAATAAAGACATTTTAAAAAAAGATTAGTTATAATTCTATCCAGATTTCTTTCTTATATTATAACCTGTGGTTTGTTTCTATGTTGCCATATAGCGTGCATATTTCCTACCCCTATCAATATGCTATAATTTATTAGTCAGTCTGCCATTATTGGGACACCAAGATGATTTCCAGGTTTTGTGTGTGTGTGCGTGTGCGCATGCACGCACACACACACGCGCACCCCCCATGTGCTTCTCTGTACTGGAAATCTCATAGTGTTTGTCCTGCTCATGCTTCCTGCTATCCTAACCACAGCTCTTTGGATCAGATATGAGTCAAGAGTTAGCCAGCCTCTGACTTACTGCCAGTAGTTCCAGATGAGAAGATGAACTAGGCCAATTCCTTTTTTGTTTGGAATATATAAAGAAAGGTAATTAAGAGTAGGAAAGAAACTGTAAGAATTCTTTGAGTGATGCCATGAAGTAGGAGCAGGGCTGTAAGGCTTATAGCAAGCGTAAGCCATTTACAAAAGATACAAGGAAGCACAATTATTGAACAAGTTGAAGAAACCAACTTGGAGGAGAATGGAGGAGGAGGAGAGAACACAATGGACTGATTATGTGACTCGTGAAAAGACAGGTGGACCCTCAAGCTACTGCAATTTCAACCAAGTTTTTAGTTCCAGTTCTGTTTTCCCGCTTATAAAACCTTATATTTTTGTGCCTGTCCTTCCCACTACATAAACTCAACTGCTTCAGTTATGATAAACAATGCTGAGGTAAATGGCTTTATAAACAAAAATTTCAGAATATCTTGATTGTCTTCTGAGGTTAAACTACGGGAATGGTATGCAAACTTTGAAAGTTTTAGATACAGTTTTGCCAAATTTATCTTTAGAAAAGTTTTTACTAGTTTACCTTCCAACCAGTTTTCAATAAGTGTTTTAATTCTCCGTATCATAGTCAAGATTAGTTTCTATTGTTTTAAAGCTTTTTATTTTATTCTTTCTTGATTTTAGTAATGATGAATTTTTTGGTATCTATATATTATTCCTTCTTTTGTGGTTTTCTTGTTGATATTCTTTGTCATTTAAAAACTGCTATGTCTTTCTTATTGATTTTATAACTTGACTGGGAATGCAACTAGCCTTCCAAGGTTTTGTGTGATTTTAACTATTGGGTTGGGGTAGATAATATTTTTCATTTAATGGAGTATCCTTTTTTAAAAAAATATTTTTAATGTATTTTTATTTATTTATTTTAAAAAATATATCTTTATTGCTTTTGGAGAGAGGAAGGGAGAAGGAGAGAGAGATAGAAACATCAATGATGAGAGAGTCATTGATCGGCTGCCTCCTGCACACCCTTTACTGGTGATCGAGCCCACAACCCGGGCACATGCCCTGACTGGGACTGAAACCATGATCTCCTCGATCATAAATTGATGCTCAACTGCTGAGCCATGCCGGCTGGGCTAATGGAGTATCCTTTTAATCCTAATTAATAAGAATTTAAAAAGAATAGATTTTAAATTTTATTAGTTTTTTTTAATAGCTATTGAAATAACCATCTTTTTTTCTTTTGACTTATTGATGTGCTGGGCCATATCAATAAATTCCCTAACTTTAAATTATCCTTATATTCCTGGAGCAAATACTAGTAACGTTGAATTTTTCTTTAGATATATTCCTGGATTCTGTATGCTAGTGAATATACTTTCAGATTTCTGAAGCTGTATATATATGACTTTTTTTAATTTATGAGATTTGACGCCATGAATTATAGTCAGTACTCTTAAGTCTTCCAAAAACTCAGCTAAGACTGAATTAAAGCATAACAGAAAATTTATTGATTCAAAACAGAATCTAGTAAAGAGATTTGGAACCCAGAATCTCAGATAATGTTCCTGCAGTTCTTTTCCTGTATCTTTCATCTTTGTCCCCCCCCACAGCATTATTGAGATGTAATTGACATATAATGTTATATAAATTTAAGATGTACAATGTGATTGATATACATATATATTGCAAAATGATTGCCACAATATAGTTTAACAAATCCATCACCTCACATAAATAACATAACACTTTTTTGTTTGTGGAGAGAATGTTTAAATTTACCCTCTTAGCAAACTTTCAAGTATATAATATAGTGTTGTTAACTATAATCACCATATTAAATATTAGATGCCCAGAACTTATTCATCTTAGACCTGGAAGTTTGTGCTCTTTGAAGAGAAAGTGGATGCTGCAGCACTATAGCCCTTTCTGGAATGTCCCTGAAGGACAGTGGTGAAGGAAAATCCTCCCAGTGGACAAAATTTTGATCAGTACACCAGGTTGTTCTCTTGTTAATTTTCTTGGGGGGAGAAATGGCCGTCCATGATTTACACACCAGTTCATTTCTGAAGGGGACCCATCTTCTTCATTTGAAGGATTCTGGGTGTGTAATATGGTTCAAGTCTGGGAATTGATTGAGAACTTGTGACTCAGTTTTTTTGATTCAGGTTAGATTTTTGTTCACTTGACCTAGAACTTTTCTGTTTTTACAGATCTAGTGTGAATTTATTAGTAGGTTTTCTATCAGTTTCACTTTTAGGAGCTCCATGATCAAATATCCAACATTATAGGTGGTAAATGAGAGTCAGACTATTCTGACTGTTGCTTTGACTCTGCTCTCCTTGGTTGTAACATGCCCATATTGGCTTTGACAGTTGGGGACTGCCACTTGGACCCTGTTAACCCAGGATCCAAATATCCTCAGTGTGCTTCACTTTTCTCATTCAGTGACCACAGTTCCCACTGTAATGTCTAGGCTACAGAGAACAGTAATCACAGAGCTCTTCAAAGGTGCTGGGGCTCCCCTCACAAATTTATTTTCCATAGTCATGGTGAAAGGTGTGTTTTCTGGATTATCTGAGTAAGGTCTTAAATAGCAAACCCACTCTCCTATAGCAAACCCACATTCCTGTCTCCTTATGCCTTTGAATTGTTTCTTTTACCTTAAACCAAGGAAGGCTCAGCATTTTCAAGTCACTCACCATGGGCTCCCTTTTGGTCCATTTTTCAGGCAATTAACCAACAAGTTGTTATAGCTCTTTCTAAATCCCTGACCTGCAACATTAAAGGCAGAATCTCTACTTAATAAGCCCATGTCAATAAATGTGGCCTGATTTAACTTTATGTTCCTTCCACCATTGTCCCACAACCTTTATTTCTATCCTTATACGTGTTCCTTGCATTTGTCTGTATAAATTAGAAAACACAGTTGTTCTTTTGATACATAGCATACTTCCTCATGGGTTACTCTTTGTACCTCATCTTTAGGGACCTGCTGGTACTTGAGTCTACTCATAGATCTAGAAACAAAGGTGGTCAGGGTGAGTCCTGAGGAGAATCAACATTGTCTTGCTAGGCAGCTTCTTCAAAGGAGTCTATTACGATCCCCCCAGGCAATGCAGCACTAATCTCTTATTTTGGGAGTGGAAAGGACTCCTTTGAGGGTAGGGAGGCCACTTCCACTGGCAGAGAAGACTCATCAGAATTTAGGGACTCTGTCTCCTCCTTCATTGGAGTCTGCACACACCTCCATTTCATCTTTCAGGATCTCATTCTTTCCCAATCACTGTCCTCACTTTAACAGTAGATATCCTATGAGGTTGGAATTCGACTTGTGCTGTAATGTCTCTAGTTGCAGGATGAGATTCTGGGTTTGATTTTCAGAGATTTCAGCCTCGCTGCTACAGGAAATGAGGGGCTCTGTCAGTGCACGCATAGAAGTTTTCAGGTCATTTTATGCATTACTTGAGCTGGGGATTCTAACTTCTGAGCACATTCTTTTCTTTCCCCACTTTGTCAGTGATAGTAGGAGTAGCCACTCAATCTTTTATTTGTTAGTTTGACAAAAATGTTTATAAGTATCACATACACAGTCAGAATCTTGATTCTTATAAGTGGTTGAATAACTAGTGGTGATATTTTGCGAATCTGTTGCCATTTCACGTTATGGACTATGCTCTTTTTACTATTGAAAATAGAGTTATTAATGTCTTTAAAAGTAATCAGGTAAGAGAATCAACTTCATAAACTCAGGAACCAGTTTATAAAACTTATCTTTAAAACTTTCTTTAGAACCACTCTTGGTATCAGTATCTGCATTAGGGTTCTCCAGAGAAATATAACCAATAAGAAGAATATACGTGTGTGTGTGTGTGTGTGTGTGTGTGTGTGTGTGTGTGTGTGTGTGTGTAAAGATTTATAATAAGTAATGGACTCAGATGATGATTATGGAGACTGACAAGGCTCAAGACTGACAAGAGATGATGGTAGATTCCAGTAGGGTGTGCTCCCTGGAGGCAGAGCTAGATCCTCTGTCCTAAAGGTTTTAAGGGTGGAGATTTTAGGGGAGATCCCAGGGAGGATCTCAGTAGAATATTCAGCAGCTTTCCAAGTGTCCTTTTAGGGTCTAGGTCTCTACTGATTGGTCAATACCAGGGCAGGGGGGCATTATCCAATGCAGCTGCTCCTGAGGTCAGCCATAGGCTCAGTGGTCTGGTTTTGCTGCTTTTCTGGGCCTGAAATACAGCTGAAACCTAGATGTTATCTCTAGGGAGGAAAAGTGGGGGTGGAGGTGTGTGTGGGGGGGTGTCCAAACTGCTTC